GCCCTCCAGACGTTTTAATCCGGCCCTCGAGCTCCCACCGGGGAGCAGAGTCTGGGGCTTGCCCCACTCTGGCGCTCCAGCCGGGGAGTGGGATAGAGAACTTGCCCCACTCCGTGCAGCCCCCAGAAGCAGTGGCATGTCCCCCCTCTGGCTCCTACGTGTAGGGGTAGCCAGGGGGCTCCGCACGTTGCCCCCACCCCAAGAGCCACTCCCACAGTTCCCCGGGAACTGTGACCAATGGGAGCTGCGGGGCAGTGCCTGTGGACAGGGCAGCACGCAGAGCCGCCTGGTCGCGCCTCTGCATAGGAGCCGGAGGGGGGACATGCCGCTGCTTCTGTGGCTGCTTGAGGTAAGCGCTGCCCAGAGCCTGCACCCCTGATGCCCTGCGCCCCAACCCCCTGGCCCAGCCCTGATCCCCCTCCTACCCTCCAAACCGCTTGGTCCCAGCTCGGAGCACCCTCCGGCATCCCAAACCCCTCAGCCCCACCCCAGAGCCCTCCCCTCCAGCCCTCCCGCCCTGCACCCAAACTCTCTGCCCCAGCCTGGAGCTCCCTTCTGCACCCTGAACTCATTTCTGGCCCCACCCCACAACTCCAGCTGGAGCCCTCACCCCCTCCTGCACCTCAACCCCCAATTTTGTGAGGATTCATGACCCACCATACAATTTCCATACCCAGATGTGGCCCTTGGGCCAAAAGTTTGCCCACGCCTGAGTTAGAGGGTAGCTCAGTTTCCATAACTCATACTTTGGCCTTTCTCAAGGGTTGACTGACTGGGTCATGGGCCAGGAAGCTATGCTACAAGTGCAGGTTACACTAGACATGATTTTTCACTGGTACAGATTTCCACTGGTCTCCATCTATCTTATAAATGATTTTATTTTTCAATTGTGCCCATCCAGAGAAAAACACAGGCCACTTGCCAACCACCCTGGTTAGTCTGCCTTATGATCTTTGCTGATATTCTCAATAAGGGTACCAGTTGTGATGTGGAGATCGGTGCAACAGAAACTGGAAATGGACAGTTTTGCCAGTTCCTTCCACTGCAGACCTGTCAGATGGCAAAGACTTTTTGGTCACTATCAGTGTATGTGGGATTTGAACATAAGTGAAAGCTGGATTTATGACCTTTAAATCCTCTGAGATGTGCAGGCTTCTTGGAATTGTTATAGTGACGACTCTGGTATCAAAATATTCTTGTCTTTGACATGAAACAGTTTTTCTACCTTCAGCTAAAATGCTATCTTGATAACTTAAACTACAACAATAGGAGTAATTTGAGCTCCATCTTTTGTATAATGTTTTGTCTTTTAAATGCTCTTTATCCATGACCATACAACTTCAAGGCATGGACTCACTTCAGATGGAAGGACTGCAATACTGTTAGTAGTCATTGCATTGCTTCTGATTCGGACAGTTTTGCAACTGAAATTTATTTTACCACTGACATTTCCTATTAAGGGAGTCTTGTTCCTACTCAGTGTTACAACTGAGGAAATGGCATTTTGTTATGTGGTAGGTTTCAATCAAACCAATGTTTATCCATCCTCAGTTGTCCCCATTGGGCTAGGACCAGTTTGCTTGTAAACTCTGTCTATTCCGAATCTCTTCTGATAGAGGTCCTAATTAACCGTTAATTATTTATTTCAATCTGGGGTTTGTCAGATTAGATATACTACAGACAGTGATTTTTATTAGTGTATGCAACCTGCTTTTGCTTTGCATTCTTATAGCATAAACATGCCAATTAATATTTCAGACTAGAGGACAATCTTTCACTGAGATGAAGCCAGTGTCCTATTTCACTTTGCTGGGACACCGAAATATAAATCTGAGCTTACTGCAGTACTAGCAAGCACTTCAAGGATAAGCTAAAGGAACAATATCTGAACTACTGACAGACTCATTTTAAACCTGTTGAATAAAACTTGAGTAATTTAGACTGATTAGAAACTTAAATAAAAGTAATAACTACATTATTTTAGTGCTCCCAAAATGCACGCCAAGCAAACTTAGCAGGTGGAAAACACCACTATTAAACAGTTGGTACTAGTTAGTAGCACTTTAAAATAACTTTGCCCTGATGCACTTTCTTTTCCAGGTATCCTTATGCAGTTGCTTCTAATCATAAAATCAACCAGTTGTTAAGTAACAATCCTCTGGCTTCATGTTTACACAGTAATAAATGCATCTGAGTATTTATATCTCTTTTAGGTAGCAACTAAATGGGCAAATTGAACGAGTATAACTTCTCTAAATCCCTCTGTGGCCACTCCTGTTTTGGTTTGAGTAGTTTTCTTTCGTTTGGTTTTGTGTTGTCATTTAACTCAACCTGCTCCCAGTCTATGTATAACAAAGCCACTCTAAACTCAAACCCTAATGCTGCAAACACATACTTCCAGTAGAACTATTGACTTAAAGGGGACTATTCAAATTAAGTAGTTAAATTCAGAACCTGTATAAATGGTTGCAGGATCATGGCCAAAGGCCATATCTACACTACAAAATTGTGTTGACCTAACTTATGTCGGCATACAGCCACAACAATTTATTAAATTGCTTGTGTGTGTGCACGCTTAGCTCTTTGTGTCCACAGTGCATGCCCTCACCAGGAGTGCTTGTATCAATTGTATTGTCAGTGTGGGGCATTGTAGGATGGCTCCTGGAGGCCAGTAACAGTTGACATAAGCAATGTAGTGTCTACACTGACATTGTGTAGACCTAATTACCTTGACTGTGATTCTGGGATGCTCAGAGAGGTGCTGTTTCTAAAGCAGTGTAGAGAGGCACTTCCTTGGGCAGGAGCCAAATTTAAGTGAAGATGCTTCCACATCTAGGTTAACATGACGCAGCTTATGTCAATCTAACCATCTAATGTAAATTAGGCCTAAATGGGGCACTATAGGTTTAAATTAACACATTGGATTCTATCCATGCAACTTTCTCATAAAGACAAGTCTGTGCCTTCCCTTTATGTAGTAACACCTACCTGTACTGTGTGATTAAATTCACTTCAGGTAAACAAAAAAATCTTGTTGTAACCTGTTATACCTCAGCCTTTTCCCTCCCTGTTTATTCCTACTTCCTCTCTGTCTAATGGAGAGTGTCAGCACCTCACAGCAGGAACTACACCTTTTTTATTTACCGGTAGGTGGTCAGGGACCTAGCCCAATGTTTCTCAACATCTGGGCTATGGACCAATGCCAATCAGTGATCTCCCTGATACAGTTTAGGAAAGCAGCAAGCCAGTCCCTGGTATCAAAAAGCCTGAGAAACATAGACCTAGCCTACCTCTAACTTGTACTGTGCCTAATTACCTTGTCACATCCTAGCCTGTTCAGGTCAGGCTACTATTTCCTTCTTGGAATGAAGGCAGGGGAGGAAGAAAACATGTGCTGATCCTTGCCCCTACTACACAGTGGTGGCTCATCTACACCCCATGTTTCTGTAGGATCCAGGTATAGCCTGCACTTCACAGCATAGCACTAAATCCTGGACATACATAAAAACAGCCGTACTGGGGCCAATGCCAGGTGCTCCAGAGGGAATGAACAAAACAGGTAATCATCAAGTGAGCCATCCCCTGTCACCCATTCCCACCTTCTGGCAAACAGAGGCTAAGGACACCATCCCTGCCCATGCTGGCTAATAGCCATGGATGAACCTATCCTCCATGAACTTACCTAGTTCTATTTTGATCCCTGTTGTAGTCTTGGCCTTCACAACAGCCTCGGGCAAGGAGGTCCATAGGTTGATTGTGTGTTGTGTGGAAAAAATACTTCCTTTTTGTTTAAACCTGCTGCCTATTAATTTAATTTGGTGGCCCCTAGTTTTTGTTATGAGGAGTAAAATAACACTTCCTTATTTACTTTCTCCACACCAGTCATGATTTTGTAGACCTCTATCATATCCCTGTTAGTCATCTTTTTCCAAGCTGAAAAGTCCCCATTTTATTAATCTCCCCTCAGATGGCAGCCATTCTCTACCCCTAATCATTTTCATTGCCTCTCTCTGAACCTCTTCCAATTCCAATACATCTTTTGAGATGGAGGGGCCGCATTTGCACACAGTACTCAACATGTGAGTGTACCACAGGCGCTATTGTCTGTTGTTCCTATGGATGACTTTTTATTGGAAACTGCAGGCTGCATCCATAGCCTCTATTTCCATGAAAATAAAAAGCTTCCTCCACTGCGGGCCCTACTGCTAGCCTCAGGTATCTGGGGATCCCCTCCCACCTCACAACACGGATCAGGTGTAGTGACCCACAGGCTGCAGCAGAAATACCAGATGTGGTTGGGTAATAGCTACTCAAGCCGCACCCACCCCTGGGGCGGCAGCTACTATTGTCTCTCTCCATTCCCATGACCTCGAACAAAGGGAAGGCTGCCGGGCAGGGCCGGGCCGGGGCTTGTCTCTTTTCGCCCACGCGGCCCTGTCTTTGCCCGCTCCCAGCGCAGCTCTGCAGCACGGCCCCTCGCCCCCCAAAAGGAGCAGGCGCTGTACTCCCCTCCACGCGCGGGTTGGGCTGGGCAGAGTCTGCACTGCAGCACTAACCGGCGCTACGTCACAGCACTACCAGGGGTGGAGTAGCCAGCTGGGGGCTGCCGCGTGGGTTGCTGCAGTAGCGCGCGTGCGCATTTGGGTGACCCTCAAGGTGACAGCCGAGTGCGCGCTTGCGCACTCGGGTCTGCCCGCCTGGCCCGTTCCGCGGGACGGCTATGGGATTCCGTAACGTGTAAGCGAGGGGGGCCGCTGCGGGGGGGGCTCGGTAGGCGACGGGAGCCGCCCCCGGGGGTGGCTGAGGAGCCGCTCCCTCTCCTAGGCGGGGGCTGCTCCCGGCCCGAGAGCCCGGTGCGCGGGAGCCCCCGGGCCCTGCTGGGGGGCGTCTGAGACCGCACCCCGCCTCCGGCTGCTTTGGGCCTCGCGCTCGCAGGGAGGGCTGCGGTCATGGTGCTGCGCCGCGCGGAGCCGAGCGCCGGGCTGATACCGCGCAGCGCTGCGGCTTGTTGTCCCGGCTGGGCTTGGCCGCATGGCTCCGGGGCAGGAGCGGGCCGTGACGCTGGGGGTGCGGAGCCGGTGTCGGGAGGCGGTGGGGAGGCTGGGTGTTGTGCAGCTGTTGTTCTTTTCTGCCCTGTGCAGATGGCAGTGCCTGTGGGGAGGGGCGGGGTGTTGCCTCCATTAGGGGGCATCCAGTAACCCTGAGTCAGGAGGACCCCGAGGCTGGATACTGACTAGACTGTCTGAGTGCCTAGTGGACAGAGCGCTGTGCTTAGACTCAGGAACTCAGAGTGCTGAATGACCTTGGGCAAGAAAGTCCACCACTCTGCCTCAGTTTCTCTGTAAAATAGGGATAATGACACTGATTCCTCTTGTAAAGCGCTGTGAGAACTAGTGATGGAAAGTGCTAGGTATGAATTATTAGTAGTGGGGCTTTTGTAGAGGAGGCAGGGTATGGGTGGTGGTTTGTTTTTTGTTTTTTGGTTGAAGTATTTTGTCTTTCTGACATCCTGCCAGCAAACCTCAGCTTTGACTTAATTTAGCTTAGGCAGCATCACGACTGTCACTCAGTGCAGAAGTGGGGCCTGCAAGGATTTAAAAAATTAATACTTACTACTGCAGGCTTGTATTAAACTCCCAAGGTTACAGCTTTTCTCTGACCTTGGCTTGGTAAACGCCACCACCCAAATGCAACAAACCCCCCTTTGAATCCAGGAAGGAGCACTTGGGAATTCCTCCCTATGGGGTGCCCTCAAGACCCCACCCCCAAAAGCTGAAAAAGGAAACAAAGGAAATTAGCTGTGGCTACCAGCTAATCAAACAACACGCACAAACCTCTAAGGACACCAAAAATCCAATCCTGTTCTTAAAAAAAGGTAAATTTTATTAAAAACAAAAAAGAAAATATATCTGGAACTTAAGCTTTTGCTAGATTTTAAAAGAGCAATTCCAAAAATCAAGCACCCAAAATAGTTTTCTTGGGGGTCAGCTTAAAGGTTACAAGGAAACAGAAGCATCTGGGTTAACACAGTGGAGTCCACAAGCCAATAAGAAATAAAAGAAATAACCCTAATCACATCTAGCTAAACATTCTGATCTACTTACACATTGGAATTCAGATAAGTACTTCTAGGCACAATCTGATAACTAAAAATCATACCTGGCTGAGTTGCTTATAGCATGGTTGCCCTGTCCCTTCAGCCCAGAGAGACAGACAAAGGGAAAGTTTTTTTTTTCCCCAATTTTAAAAAGTTCAACCTTCCCATTGGCTCTTTTGGTCAGGTGTAAACTTTTTTTTTTCTTTATCTGGGGGACTTTTTAACCCTTTACAGGTAAAGCAAGTAAAGAACAGCTACCAAAAGGGATTTTACAGCTAGCTGGCTGGCTGGGTGTCCATTAAAGGGAGCTATCCCCCCACTTTATTTATTACAGGCAGTGTGTAGGCAGGTGGCTGTGATCCAGAGACCTTCTTGGAATTGGTTGCTTTGGTCATCTTCCTGATATGAAGGGGTCCCATGTTTATTTTTTTAGACACTGAGAGCTGATCGGTCTCATCCCACAATGCACATCTTGATCCAAGTGCCTGTAAGGGGTAATGACAGGTCTCCAGGAGGGATGTGCAATTCAAAAGACCAAGATCTCAAATTAAATTCTATTTTATGAATTTATCAGGGAAACACTTTCCACAATAAAGGTGGCATCAATACTGCAAAGATCCCCTGATTTGCATTCTTCAGGAAGTGACTAACTGAAAGGGTTTCTGCTCCTGAGTAGACAGATTAGAATACCAGCATAGTTACATTCTGTGTCACATTTACTTAACCTAGATTTCACTTCAAAAATTTCTACATGTAATAGTTGCCCTATGGGTAGATCTCTGAGCCTAGATCTCTATGGCAGATCTCTACTTGGTACACACCTTCTGTTGGTAGACTTGTCCTCACCTGAATCATCCAGTTGACTTCAGTGGGCTTACTAATATGCATAAGTGTTTGCATCCTCAGGACTAAATTTGTATTTTTAATAATTACAAAAATTCTTAGTGGTGTCAAACCAGAAATTCAACTGACAATTATGAAATCAAAGAAACAAGTACAAAGCATCCACTAATAAAATGGGAAGAAAATAAATAACTAGCAATACATAAATAGAAACTTTAATTTTCCCCCTTAAATTTAAAATTAATTACACTTAAAAAAAAAAAAGAGAATATCTATCGGGGAGTTAAGCATGTTTGTGAAGTGCACCTCTAAGGAAGATGAGTACTCCATATTGGTATGAGAGGGTAGGTCATGTCATAGCAAACAGCATTAGATAGAATATGTATGAAATAGTTTTTCAAGGAGTTTGTAGGAAATTAGAAGTCTACTGCACAATTACTTATTAAAGTGAATGTGTCTAAATAAGCTTTGGTGGTGGTTTGTTTTTTTTCTCCTCTTCCAAGCTCTACAACAATGCCTGGGTCTCTTCCTGTGAATGCTGAAGCCTGCTGGCCAAAAGATGTGGGAATTGTTGCCCTGGAGATCTATTTTCCTTCTCAGTATGTTGACCAGACAGAATTGGAAACATTTGATGGTGTGGATGCTGGGAAGTACACCATTGGCTTGGGTCAATCGAAGATGGGATTCTGCTCAGATAGAGAGGATATCAACTCACTCTGCTTGACTGTGGTACAGAAGCTTATGGAGAGGAACAGTCTCTCCTATGATTGCATTGGGAGATTAGAAGTTGGAACAGAGACAATCATTGACAAGTCAAAATCTGTAAAGACTGTCCTGATGCAGCTCTTTGAGGATTCTGGTAATACAGACGTAGAAGGGATTGACACAACAAATGCATGCTATGGAGGCACTGCTGCTATCTTTAATGCTGTTAACTGGGTTGAGTCCAGTTCTTGGGATGGTAAGTTTGTTGTCTTTGTTCGAAAGCTACATCTTAAGTCTTTGTCCAGTAGTCTTCCTAGTAACCACCTTAAATACACAGCACATAACTTTATGCTTGGATAGTAAGCCTTTTAAAAATACTTTATAAGATATAAGATTTCGTTTTCTATAGTTAAAAAATGCTAAGTAAAACAGACACTGGACTTGAGAGGTTTCCTGGGAAATACGCTAGACAGAAAATGTATACTTCCAAGATGACTTGCACGTCTAGGTTACACCTTGTGTAAATGTGAAATTAGAATGTATTGTATATGCTTTACAAAGTGATTCTGAGACACCTACTTATCATTGATCTTTTCTTGGAAATCTGGAATGCTCCAAAGAATGAAAATAAAAGGCGGAAATAAATTTGGAGAAGTGTCAGCTGATGAGAGCTCGCACAATCCTGCAACCATATCTTCCTGTAAACTGGAAAACTAAGCATTGCAAGCTAAAAATAAAGTTTCCCCGGGACTTCTTTCCATAGTTATTTCTTATCTTTTCCAGGTCGTTATGCACTTGTTGTTGCTGGAGACATAGCTGTGTATGCCACTGGAAATGCCAGGCCAACCGGTGGAGCTGGTGCTGTTGCTATGTTAATTGGTCCAAATGCTCCTTTAATTTTTGAGCGAGGTTAGTCTCATGTGGAAAGATTTTAAAACGGATACCATATATGGGGCCTGCAGAACACTCTGAACTCCAGGATGTCCTGTACTGTAGTTACTGTCATTCCAGGCCTCTGGGGAGCCAGATTAACTTTTCTGGTGTTAGAACTTGCACCTTCTATCTTGGTCTAAACTGACCTGTTGCTGCCCCTAGTGGGATTCACCTGTGGGTGGAGTAGGAGGTACTGCCTGCCTTCACCAATGTGAAATAGGCACTAGACAAGACCGTGCAGTCCTTGTATCAGCGCAGTTTTCTCACGGGGGGGCTGACAAATGATGAAAATCGACTTGTTACAGGCAGGATAGGCTAGATTCATGAAGGAACTTAAGCGTAGTGACACTGAGCGTCAGCACACCCAATTTCTAGGAGCCTAGAAAATTACTGGGATTAACAAAACCTGGGTTAGGCACCTCTGGAGAAATGGTCTGAAGTAAATAGGATGAAATTCAATAAGGACAAATGCAAAGTATTCCACTTGGGAAGGAACAATCAGTTGCACAGATACAAAATGGGAAATGACTGCCTAGGAAGGAGTACTGCGGAAAGAGATCTGGGAGTCATAATGGACCACAACTAAATATGAGTCAACAGTCTAACACTGTTGCAAAAAAAGCAAACATCATTCTGGGATGTATTAGCATGAATGTAAGCAAATTCTACTCCGTGCTGATTAGGCCTCAACTGGAATAGTGTGTCCAGTTCTGGGCAACACATTTCAGGAAACGTGGACAAATTGAAAGTCCAGAGAAGAGCAACAAAAATGATTAAAGGTCTAGAAAACATGACCTATGAGGGAAGGGTGAAAAAATTAGGTTTGTTTAGTCTGGAAAAGAGAAGACAGTGGGGACATAACAGTTTTCAAGTACATAAAAGGTTGTTACAAGGAGGAGGGAGAAGAATAGTTCTTAACTTCTGAGGATAGGACAAGAAGCAATGGGCTTAAATTGAAGCAGGGGAGGTTTAGGTTGGACATTAGGAAAAACTTCCTAACTGTCAGGGTGGTTAAGCATTGGAATAAACTGCCCAGGGTGGTTGTGGAATCTCCATCATTAGAGATTTTTAAGAGGAGGTTAGACAAACACCTGTCTAGATAATACTAGAGTGGTGGTCTAGATAATACTTAGTCCTGCCATGAGTGCAGGGGACTGGACTAGATGACCTTTCAAGGTCCCTTCCAGTCCTATGATTCTTAGCCCAGCGGTCTGGGTACACACCTGGAGTGTGAAGACCCCTTTCCCCTGAGTGGGAAAAGAGATTTGAACAGGCATCTGCCACCTGTCAGATGAGTGCCCTAACCTCCTGTATTTTGGGATATTCTGATGTGGGCGTCTCTCCTGTTGAAATTGTTCCAGTTTGGATAAATAATAAGAGTAATTGGGCCAGAGAGAGCAGCTAAATATAAGAATGACTCTGTAGCCTGGTGATTAGAGTGCTCACCTAGGAGGTGACAGACCCAGCATCCGGTCCCTCTACAGCAATTATCCTAATTATTTATCCTCAGTGGAATACCTTCAGTAGGAGAGACTAAGGGAGTTGTACGTTAGAATAGCCCAGTAGTTAGGGAACTCACCCGAGAGGGGCCAGATCCATGTTCAAATCCCTTTTCTCCCCTTCTGGTGGAGATGGGACTTTGAACTGAGGTCCCTCACAACCCCAGTGAGTACCCTAACCATTGGGCCAAAAGTAATGAGGGAGGTCATCCCCTATTCCCAATGCCTGATTGGTGTATGCCTGCTTATATGGGCCTGATGTGGTAGGTGAGGTCTGAGGACACCTGCTGAGTTGGACCCCACAGGGGAGTTAGGTGGAGAAATACCTATTTTCCCCTAGTTCATGAATCGCATTGGGGCTTAGGTGTCAAAAGGTCTAGAGTGGGGCTGCAGTTCACATGCTCGAACAGAAACATAGGCACCTAGGGAACTTTTACTGCACAAATTCAGGTGCTAAGTGAGTTTAGACATCTAGAAGGTTCAGCAGCAGCTGAGGTGAAAGTTTTGTGAATCACTGGGGCCTGATTCTGGGACTAAGGCACCTAAATCCTTTTTGTGAATCTAGCCTGGTGTTTTGCCAGCACTTCCATTCTCACCTTGGTAGTGAATGATCGGGAGCTGTATGTCAAACCACCATGGATGTGAGAATTCACTACTAAGCTGTCTGGCCAGCACCAGATCTTATCTGTATGCCACTAAGCTGGGGTGACATGTATTCAGGTTGACTTATAAAGTGATTCTCTTAAGCAATCTTTCTTTCTTTCTTTAAATAGGACTGCGTGGGACCCATATGCAGCATGCCTATGACTTTTATAAGCCAGACATGGTGTCTGAATATCCTGTAGTTGATGGTAAACTATCTATTCAGTGCTACCTCAGTGCATTAGATCGCTGCTATTTTGTCTACCGCAACAAAATCCGTGCTCAGTGGCAAAAAGGTATGTATTACTGTAAAACGTTTACAGGCATCGGTGGCAATCTAAAATTCTATTTGCCAGAGCACATAATGAGACTGCAGTATCTGTACAACCGCATATATCTGTATATCCAGCCTAAAAATTTTTTAAATAAATATTAAATAAACCTCAGGGAAGCAACATTGTCACTAGGACTTTGGCTAGTTTATACCTCCAGTGTAACTTGCCCAGTGGGATGTAAGTGTGTATTTGCTTTTTTAATGATCCCTTAATCCTGTGACACTGAGATTTATATTCAATTGTTCAACAATTATACAGAATAAATATAAGCATTTTGTTTCGTATTTATTTATTTATTTTAAAAAGGGGGGGGGGGGGGCTAATGTGAGCAATTGTACACACATTGTTACAACTTACTGTGCCTTCTTTTGCCTTTGCCAGAAGGAAGTGACAGAGACTTTACCTTGAATGACTTTGGCTTCATGATCTTCCATTCTCCATACTGTAAACTTGTACAGAAATCTGTGGCTCGACTGTTGTTGAATGACTTTCTTAGTGACCAGAACTCTAAAACAGAAAATGGTATCTATAGTGGCTTGGAAGCTTTCAGGTGAGAACTGCTACTATCACTTAATTAGCCTGAGGAAGAAGGGAATCTAAAATGTGCTACACATCCTATATGCTTCTCCCTTTCAGCTGTTTTAGTGAGTAGCAGCAGTTTCTAAACCTCATTATTTTTTAAATAGGGATGTAAAACTGGAGGATACCTATTTTGATAGAGATGTGGAGAAGGCCTTTATGAAAGCTAGTGCTGAACTCTTTAATCAGAAAACCAAAGCTTCTTTACTTGTATCCAATCAAAATGGAAACATGTACACCCCTTCAGTCTATGGCTGCCTTGCTTCTCTTCTAGCACAGTAAGTATAAAGCCAGAAAAGTAAGAAATTGGTACTTGACATGTTAACTCTTAAAAAGCTCTAGAAACATAACTTATTCCCAACAGGCTTACTGTAACCAAAACAAACTATCCCCCAAAAATCTTTTCCCTTGGATGAAGTTCAGGTAGCAATCTTTTTTTAAAAACCCAAACATAAGTTTAGCAAAGTGCTCTAGATACATTAATCATGCAAATGAAGTGGGAAAGCAGGCTGTACACATTCCAGGGAAGGGGTTTTCCTGATTCTTGTCTTGTGCAAGACAGCATACTAACAGTTGATGGTGAATAAACATAGTTGCATCAAGTATCTATGCCTTGGATTAGCAAAACAACATTTTAGATAATCCTTGTAAACTAACAACCCCCCACCTAGTTGCAGTCTTAACCTGAACAAGCACACACGGTTGCTGGATTAGGGATCAGAAGCCTTTCTTATCCTACCACAGGTTATGCAGGGTTGATTAGATGATTACTAGAGGCTAGTTGCAGCTCAAATGGTTCTGCATGCACACTTAATAAAGAAAACCAGCCTACACAATAACTAATTTGTATGTACTCTTGTCTCACATACTTCATCCGTCCATCTTTCGTGAATTGCATCCAGAAATAGCTGCTTTCCTACTATCCAAACTAATTAGCCACTGACTAAACTTCTCATTTACTAGCACACACCGCTCCCAGCCTCCAAACAAGTTAAGAGGAGAGAAATCAAGACATCTTCTCTTCCCCCACCAAAACAAGCATACCAAAAGATCAACTTCCTTTGTTTCTTTGCAGACCGTTCCAGCTAGCATCAGCTGTGGTGCAGCCACTGAGACTGACAGCACCAAAGGGAACTCTAGCAAGCCCACTCTTTAGCATTGACTTTCTCTCGGCCTGGGCTTTTTAGTTTTCTTCGAGGTGGTGATACCCTTTAGGCATGGAAAAAGCAAATAACCTGAGGATTGTAATGTTCTGGACATTATTTAACCTCATTCCATTTAAATTAAATTTGATGGTAGCTGCACTGCAGAGTCTAAATCTTGTTTCAAAGATCATTCTCTAGTGCTGTAGATGTATGTGGCACTTCTCAGTTAGAAAGTGAGAAGACCCCTTCCCTGAGACGCATACAGGCAATGCAATGTGTAGATGCCTCATCATGAGAAGTGAAAAAACAAGGAGTGATGAGCACTCTTTGTGTTACTTGTTTTATGTATAGGAACTGTGGCTTGTAGTCTGAGATGTCAGCTGCACCGTTCCAATAAACTTTGGTCTTAGCAGGCTTCTCCCTGGAAGCTAAATATCACACTTGGTTATTTAAAATTGGCACTTAAGCGTAGTTCTCTTAATTCTTCTTAACTGTTGTTTGATGTACAGGTACTCCCCACAGCAGCTAGCAGGACAAAGAATTGGTGTGTTCTCCTATGGCTCTGGTTTTGCTGCTACACTCTACTCCATTAGAGTTACACAGGATGCCACACCTGGTAAGTTAATTTGACTATAGCATTTCTCATTTGGACAGCTCACCTGAAAAGTTGGCTACACTAAAACATTGGTATAAGCAGAAATGCAACAGACTGGCTAATAGTGATAGAAGTATTTCTGTACCATGGGGAAAAGACTAAAATACAAGATGCGGTCTCACCATGTTCTAACTCTCAGAAGGCTAGCTTTATAAGGGAGGAATAGCTCAGTGGTTTGAGCATTGGCCTGCTAAATCCAGGGCTGTGAGTTCAATCCTTGAGGGGGCCATTTAGGGATCTGGGGCAAAAATCTGTCTGGGGATTGGTCCTGCTTTGAGCAGGGGGTTGGACTAGATGACCTCTCGAGGTCCCTTCTAACCCTGTTGTCCTATGATAATGACTAAAGCTATAATAATGTAATCTTGTTTCCCAGAGATCATGAAAATTGCATATTAAAATACAACTATAGTCTTCCAGTTTGTACGAAAGTCCTTTTGAAATACTAGTGCATTGACATTTACTTATGATGTTAGCATTGACTTAGTGGAGGTCTTGTGTGTTCCAGGTTCTTCTCTGGATAAAATAACTGCTAGCCTATCTGATCTGAAAACAAGACTTGACTCAAGAAAGTGTATTGCACCAGATGTCTTTGCTGAAAACATGAAGCTTAGACAGGAAACGCATCACTTGGGTAAAAGCATTTTCATATAAAGTAAATTACAATATGCTTAACAAAGTAAATTCCTGATATTGTTATCAAATCCGTGAATTCAGTTAAGGATCGAAGTCCAGGGCTTTCTAGTTTTACATAATTTCGATCAAGCATTGCAGCAGTTAAGTATTCATGGCACAATTTGAGCTAAAGTGAAGGCCGTACTTTGGTATTAGTACACATGCTCTTCTGCTATTGCAATTTGGAAAGAGGCAGTGAATATTACAATAAACATTAACCATCAAGTTTCAGAGGGGTAGCCGTGTTAGTCTGTTTCAGCAAAAACAAGGAGTCTTGTGGCACATTAAAGACTAATAAATTTGTTAGAGCTTAGCTTTCATGGGCTATGACCCACTTCTTCAGATGTATGAGAGAAAATTACAGTAGGCAGGCATAAATATATAGCACAAGAAAAGTTGCCTTACCATCTTTAAGATGCCACAAGACTCCTCATTCTTAACCATCAACAATCAGTTAATAATATTTTACTGGTTTCCTCATAGCCAACTACATTCCACAGTGTTCAGTGGATGATCTCTTTGAGGGAACGTGGTACCTAGTGCGAGTGGATGAAAAACACAGAAGAACTTATGCTCGACGTCCAGTGCTGGGTGATGGGCTTTTGGAAGCAGGAGCTGAGGTTGTCCATCCAAGCATAGTTCATGAGGTGAAATTTCTGTATTTTTGTTAATAATTGATGTAAATAGCAAAACTATTTTTATATAGTGGTGCTATGCAAATCCCCTGTAAAAGGAAGACAAGGGGCTGATAACTTATTTCCATCTAATTTGTTAAAATAGGAGCCAAAAAATCAAAGATAGACATCTAAAAAAATCCCACCTGCAGAATGTAAGTTTTGGTGCAAGAGAGACTGAGTCAGTTTGTATATAAACCAAGACTGCAGAAACATCCAATCAAACGTGAATACCTAAAACCAAACTTTCTAACTAGTGTAGCGTGAATTTTGTCTGGGAGATAATGCTGGGAGTCTAGGAAGAAGCAATGAAATCTAAGAGCAGGAACTGGAAACTTCTGGTTTTTTAAACTTTTTTTTTTCCTCCTCAGCTTATCCCGAGTCCTGCTAAGAAAGTGCCAAGAATCCCTGCAACCACAGAATCTGAAGCTGTTGCTGTCTCTGTTTCCAATGGAGAGCATTAATATACCTCTGTGAGGTGTGAAATTAATCAAAATGGGCGTGGTGGAAAAGGGATTAAATATCTAAATTTCACTGTACAGAAATATTCTAATTGGAGCATGGAAAACTGTTTAAACTCCTTGAGAGGCTTTGTTTAATGTGGTTTCATAACACTAAAGCATGAATGTATTGGAAAAGAAAAAGGCAAAGGTTCGGAGGGCTTTCATAACTCTTGATGTTGGTGTGGTTTTAAAAAAAGGTTCAGGAATTACAAGATCTTGGTAACTGGACACAGAAAAACAGGAATTTTGCTTGACTTCCCAATTTTTTTAGTGAAACCTAAAATAGGTTTAAATGTGCATGCACAAACTCCCACCCTGGGAGTAAAATTTTCTAAATGGAGGAGGGGGGAACAAACGGGTTCCTTCCGCTCCCCAAAAACTGACCAAAAGCCGTTCTCTCGCTCTTTTTCAGAAGTCACTTTGCTTTTTAATGTTGGGGTCCTCAGTGCCTTGACAATAAACTGTCAGTTTTCTAAATACAATATACCCATTACTTCCCCTGCTAAAAAAATTAAGATAGGAATAGGTATTAAGTGATCAAAAATCTGTGACCACCTTATAGATTTGGTCTCCATCTAACTCCCAGTGTCCATATCACATCACTTTTATCCACATCCTTAAAGCCCACCGCTATACTGTTTTGGCAACATTAGCAGAGGCCAAGGACTGAATGAAGTTGGAGTCTTTTGTTGTCCTTCCACTGAGCAGTTCTTGACAGGGCAGTGGGAAGAAAGCGATATTTGTCAAATAAAGGGTTTAATTCCCTAATTCTTTCAATCTGGCTTTTAAAAAGCATTTGGGTTTAATTTTTTTGTCAGAATGATCACAGAGCAGACTTCTAGTCCTCAATTTCCAAATACTACGGGGAGTTTATTCAAACTGACAAACCACAAAGGGAAAAGTGACAGTTCATTCTTGACTCCTAGCCCTTGCTTCTACTATATTTTTCTTAATGGCAATTTTTAACTCTGAACTCATGATTGGCTTCATATTTCACTTGTACTTCTATAACAAGACTGTTGCAGGAAAACACAAAACCCTTTTTCCATCCTTCCAGTCTGAAAGCTGTTCATCATGCAAGGAGTAAATGTCCGAAACTAGTGGGGAGACCATTCTGAGCTATGAAGAGCCTTGCTAGCTTGTAAAATATATTTAAATTGTTCTAATGTACAGGACTGAGTCTCTTGTTTAATTTTATTTCACTGTCCACTTCAAAACTTCATTGTCTAATATAAACTTGCAGAAATGACATTGTGCGAAATGCAGGTTTTTGTGTAATGTAGTGTTTGTATAATACACCATATGTCACTCACTAGGATTTGATAACTTTTTTTGTTGGACTTGTACAGTCAACTTTCTAAAATTTCATTTAATATGAACTGATGTGGACTAATGGTCTAAGTGCTTTTATGGAAAGTGATGGAGAAATGATGCATGAAGATACTTTTGCAAGTGTTTGGGTTTTTAGTTTCATAAGAGCAACTCTACTTGCTGCCAGAAGACAAATTTATCACAGAATAAAGTCCATTGCTGGCAATGGACAGGCCAAGAACTACTGGCACAAAGAAATTTACTTGCCATCCTCACTAACACTGAAGCAGCTGATTTTGTAAATAAAGTTTTAGAGATATTTGAAACCGGTGTTGGTGTAGTGCTGAACTGCTCTGGAATACATCTCTTAAATGGATTAGGAAGAATCGAATGACCCAGCAAATACTGGAGAGTTTACAGGTTACTGATCAGGGAACCCAACCTATGCAGGTGTTCTAGTATAAATGCTTCCCTTTTCTGTTCTGTAGTGGACTGTTAAGAGGAAAATTAATCAGACTGTCTAGTTGGCACTCTAACCCAAAAATATTTAGAATTATGTGTTAGGACTGTATCTTTCAATATTCTGTACTGCTTGTTCTTTAAACCCAAACCATTTCTAACGCGTCTGTAGTCTGCAACGGTTCTATTCCCATCCCCTTTCCTTCAATATTTTGAAAAAGACTTGATAGCTTAATTTTTCTTGACTGCCTTCTTGGTCTGAACTCATCTCTGACTACAATGCAGTCAATTTCCTGTTACTTTTTAAAAAATCCAAGCTCCTCTTTACTACATAAAAGCAAATGAAGGAATATTGAACCACCCCTCTTCATTTTTAATGTATAAAAAGAGCTATTTAAAAACCTACCAGGCCAGTGTAAACATGGAAAAGCTGCATCTGAACTTGAGTTCTGGTTGTCTGTTAGTAATACAAACTGAAGCTGTGCAACTTCAGTTTTTATGGAGCCTAACAGACTTACCTCTAGCTGTCAAAGTAGCTATTTTAACTGTGCCAGCTCATAGTGATATAACTATTAGGAAAACTTTCTTACAGTTTGTATTTAAGTTGATGTAGGGGGAGCAGAGCCCAAACTTCTGATGTAAGCAGAAGTAGGGGTAACTTTGTCTCCTATCTTACACACAAGGATTGCATAGGGCATCTGTCTCTTAAAAGGGTACATAGCAATGTGAATAAAGCAAGGAGACCACTACTACAAAATACTAGGCTATCAGAAAACCCCCCCCCAAACAAACAAACAACCCACCCTATCCCACTCTCGTGTATGGGTTGTGGTATTTGGTGATTGATTTTGATACTAGTGACCATTAGAAGTAAAACAAAAACAAACTGTTTTGGCTGTCCGTGCTAATCTTTACTGCTGAAGTAACATGAGCCAGAAGCACTGCATTGTGGTATGTTTCCTTAATGCCCTATGCAAGGACATTTGTGTTGAATCTATAAGTGAAGCTAAAGCCAGATAAACTTGGAGTCTGGTCCTGTTAGCAATAGCCCTTGGCCTTCATTTGGAGCAGGACTGGGTATGCCGTAGTTCTGCATTCTTGATGCCTCATCTCCTTACTCGTAGCCTTATAAGTATGTCATGGAGTAGCAGAAATCACGGATTCTGTGACTTTTTCTCCAACCTTCATGACACTGGGGCCCTGTAGCAGCCCAGCCACTGCTGCCAGCAGTGGGACTCTCTCCCTCAGCAGTCCAGCTGCAGGAGAGAACCCCCCTCAGTTCCCAGCCAGCCGCCCAAGCTCCCAGCCACTGGACAGGGGTGAGGGGCTGCAGCTTCCTGCCGCTGCATGCAGCGGGGCAGGGTGGTGGACCCTCCTGCCTCCCCATTTTGTCAGGGATGTTTTAGTAAAAGTCAAGGACAGGTCACGGCTTCCGTGAATTTTTGTTCATTGCCCGTGACCTGCCCATGACGTTTACTAAAAATATCCATGACAAAATCGTAGCCTTACTTATTAATTCACTCAAGGATCAAACCATACTAGGTCCAGTAGATGGCAGCATAGCTGACTGTACCCAGGAGTCGCAGCATTTCTCACAGTGGTACTAAAACAAAGGTGAAAAATGTTTGATTTGAGTTAGTGGAGCATCATGTTAGGGTTTGACTTTAAATATAGGATAACTTGTGATACATTACAGCAATTTTCAGGATTTTTCAAAAGCTGATCCTGGACTAATGATGAGAAAGGGAAAAAAAGGTTAGAGCCTCTTTATCAGTCAAGGTGTAATAGCTAAAAATGAAGCGCTAACATTTAATACCTAATAGTCTTGTCTTAAGTAATAGTTTATAGATTCCTTGTAAATAAATATTCACAGCTGTTCAGGAATCAGTCTCTTTAAATTGCCAATTTGCAATGGACAAAATCTGGTTATCGTTTAGATTCCTGTACTGTTGTGACTTAACATCAGGCTAATAATGTAATATTTCTGCAAGTGGCCACATATTATAAATAGCTGTCCTAAAAGATCAGCCCAAGTATATTGAGTAATTCTACTCAATTATTAAAAGACAACATCCATTAAACAACTTGTATTTGTTAATTAGTATATCTTCCATTTTACATGTGAGATCTGTGGGCCAAAGTGCAAACACAAACAAGTCTGTTTGAGCACATCAGTCCTCTGGATGAACTAATACATGTTGAGATTTAAGGCAGTTTTGGTTTATTTAAAAATTACAAAAATGTAACATCAAAGCTTACTGTGAAATGAATAAAACCCCTTGTTAAAGTTACTGAATGTAAAGTCTGCTATATGCAATTCATAAAATTGAACACAACTTAGATGTATGTCTGATACCACGGTATGAACTGTGACCTTTCTTTAAATCCTGCTCTTTGGATTCTGGTTGCGTGACTATAGGAACAGTCTCCAGGGCTCTTTTCTTTTGTACTCTGTGCAAAACAATTCGGTAGATACCAGTTATTGAGCTTCGAGAATCTCTCCCACGGTTATTTTGAATGTGTTCTTCTGTGATTCCCAAATCTTCCAAGGTATTTTTCACTTCAATTTCCTCCTCTTTGAGGGTACTAGTCTCTGCTAAATACTTTGGATCCAGTTTAAATGGATCCAACGCTTTTGGATACTGTATCCCTTGCATCCATTCGTTCTTCATAATACATTCAACAGAGTATCGTGCAGTTGGGACTGGCTGAAGAACTCCTCTGATCAGTTTCTGGCAAGTGTCTGAAAGGTATGGAGGCAGGCTATATGTCCCATCAAGAATGCACTTCTTCAGTTTGGCCACTGTGTCCGCACGAAATGGCATTGTACCAGTTGTCATAAAATATAAAAGGATGCCTAGTGCCCATATGTCCACATAAACACCAACATAGTTTTCATCTCGGAAGAGCTCAGGGGCAGCATAAGGAGGAGACCCACAGAAAGTATTTAAAGTTTCCTCTTTTTTACTTATTGTGCTGAATCCAAAGTCTCCCACCTTCACACAGGTGTTACTGGTATAGAATACATTTTCTGCTTTCAGGTCCCGGTGAATGATATTGTTATCATGCTATAGAGCAAAAGGAAAGCAAACTAAGTATTAGTATATATGCGAAGGCTTTTCCAGCTCATTTTTTTTCCTGTCTTTGCTATACAGAAGTTGCCATTTAAAAAGTCAACATTTGCCAAGTTACCAGACAGTGGGTCTGAGGTCCTCCACTGTTTTCCTATAGTTGGAATAGGAAAGTCTAGATGTAAAGTATGGAAATGCACAGTTAAGGTGCCCAAACAAACTTAATTTTGCCCTGTGCTAACACCAAAGGGGTGGGGGAGAAAAAGATGTAAGGTGTCTTTAGTGTAATCTGACACCATAACAACACATGCATTAATCATAGTTGTATGTTTAAAAGTGCCTGAACAACCTACCTGCATTTCCTAACCCTAATATTTAGATTTCTTTTAAGGAGTTTATAACACTGTTTTTGCAATAATTACAACATCTTTCATGTTTTTTACCTTATGTTACTGATAAGTACTTTTAACCATACCTCCATCTTACTACTGTGTTTGTGTGGGGCTAGAATTTAATGCCACAAGGCATGCGATAGTGCATAAAGGCCTATCCTGTATCCAAACAGAACATCCTTTGATCTCTTTTTGAATGTTTCTGTGGATAATACCGCAGCAGCCTCTAGTCTTTAGTCTTTATAAAAAGCAGACCAAACTCCCATTGACTTCTATTGAAGTTTAGGCCAGGGTTGAATTCGATCCATAAAGAGCTTCTAAGTGGGACTATGATCACTTTTTAGACCTTAATTTACTCTAAAACTATGGCAATGCTAACAGGTGCCATTATGCTATTCCCTCTCATCTGCTGTGTTCTCTCTCCCCATTATTAGCACTTCCATTACCTACAAAAACAGAAACCTGCTCTAACATGCTGATTCTTGGTTCCAATAGTTGGCATGATATAGACTATCTCTTTCAGTGTGCTTACAGATGTAACACCTGGGTCATGACTTTACATGTGGATGAGAGTGCTGCACAAGAGCAAGGAAAGTTGTCATACTGGTGTGTTGCTGTATGTGAAATGAGTTTTGTGCTCCCAGTTCAATACCCAAAGAAGCGGTGACAATATCAGAAAAAAAACCACCACAAAGGCAGCATAGTTAGGCATTAAACAGAGAGGCCAAGAGCTGAATGGGCATGGAGACAGCAGTAGTGTCTCTCCCTAAAAGTGGTATCCCTAGACAAAGGCTGAAGAACAGTGATTTGGGGAAGTCTACGGGGTATCCATTCTACGGGGACTTTAGTGTCCAGAGCTGCCTTTCAGGAACCTTTCATTAGCACTACTCCTACTTGGTGCAAAACAAAACAAATACCTACATGAAGTCTGCTAAAGTAACGAAGGGTAACTTAGGCCTACAGAAAAACAACTTACCATGTGCTTCACAGCAGATGCAATCTGGGAGAAAATTAATTTACTTTCCATTTCTGCTAACTTTCCCTCTGTGCTGATTTTAACAAAGAGTTCCCCACCTCCTGCATACTCCATCACGAGGTGCAGTTTCGACAGTGTTTCCACCACTTCGTAAAGTCTGATAATGTTTGGGTGGTGCAGTTTCTCCATGCTGGAAATTTCACGGGACAGTAAACGTTGAGTCTTCTGGTCTAACTTGGTCTTGTCCAAAATTTTAATTGCTACTTTTTCTGGAGAGAAAAATGTATTTGAATGTATTAGGCAAACAAATATTTATAGCAACACTCTTAATTTAAAACAATCCTCATTTAACTGAAAACTTTTAAAAATCTCAATTCTTCTTCGAGTGATTGCTCACATCGGGTCCAATTAGGTATGTGCACACTGTGTGCACAGTCGTCGGAAAGTTTTCCCTTGGCAGCTCCCTTCAGGTAGGCTGTGGAGCCCCCTGGAGTGGCGCCTTCATGGTGCTGAATATATGCCCCTGCCAACCCGGTCCCTCCTCAGTCCTTCTTACCGCCGGTGACGGTCATTGGAACTACGGTCGCTTGCCTAGCAAGTGCTTCCCTTAGCATACTTTCTGATAGTTGTAGTTTAGTTCTTAGTTAGTAGTAATAGTGTATATAGTGATAGATAAGGTTGGGGAGTGGGGTTTCCCCCCCAATCCCTAACCCTTCCCTCCTTGGGCTCCGGGGCATGCCACGAGCTCAAGGGTTCAAACCCCACAGAGCCTGCAGCAAACCAATACCAATGAGCAACCCCCACGACTTTTGTCTGAAGTGTCTGGAGGTCGCAGGACGAGCTCTCTCTCCATATCAATATCAAGGAGTTAAGGGCCATACAACTAGCACGCAAAACCTTTCAGGCCCAGCTACAAGGCCAGTGTGTGTGGCAGTTATGATGGGGGAACATCAACTAGCAGGGTGAAGCCCGTTCCTCTCCCCTAGGCCGGGAACCCCTCTGGCTGTGGGAGGTCTGCATATCCCACTCCATTCACCTGGAAGCATCCTATCTACCAGGAGTTCAGAACACACTGACGGACCACCTCAGCAGATCTTTCTGCAATCATGAGTGGTCCATCCAGCCGCATGTCATACACTCCATCTTCCAAAGGTGGGGGTTTCCCCAGGTTGATCTGTTCGCCACCAAGAGCAACAGAAAGTGCCCAATGTTCTGCTCCTTACAGAAACACAGCCCTGGCTCAATCACAGATGCATTCCTGCTACCCTGGGGGGGACGACCATCTATTGTACACCTTTTCCCCGATCCCTCTCGTGCACAAGGGCCTACTCAAGGGCCCCGGGATGGAACAGAGATAATTCTGCTGGCACCAGCATGGCCTCGCCAATGTTGGTACACCACGCTCCTGGAGCTGTCAGTAGATGCCCTGATCACGTTGCCACTCCTCCCCAACCTGATCACTCAGGACCATGGTCGTCTTCATCACCCCAACCTCCAGTCCCTCCAACTCACCGCCTGGAAGCTTCCTGGCTGAACCCCATAGAGATTCTGTGCTTGGAACAGGTAAGGGAGGTCTTACTCGGCAGCAGGAAACGCTCCACTAGGGTCACAAAGTGGAAAAGGTTTACTTGCTGGTGTGACCAGCATTGTACATCCCCACTTCAGGCGCCTATATCTCTCACCTTAGCGCAGGGGTTCTCGCAACAAGTGTTTTGGTGGCCAGAGAGTGTGGCCACCAACTCTTGCTGGTGGCCGCCCTGACACTTTTTCCTAAAATACTTGATTAACTTTAGGAAAAACAAATAAATAGCACATATACACATCCACATAATTGTAATTTATTCATGTAGGATTTTTTTGGCAGACTCAATAATAACATTACTGTGAAAAGTGATATTTGTGTTTGTTACTATCAATCACTTTTCACAGGACACTTAGTAGCTATTTGGAAGGCTGTGAGCGGTGATACTTGCATGTTTGTTAAGATCACTTTTCTCAGCAAGGCCCAGGACAATTTAAGCCCTGGGTTGGGGTGGGGGGGGGGGAAGGAGAGAGAGTGAGAGTGTGTGTGTGTCAGATGTAGATGCTGTGGACTGGATGGGTGAGGGGTAGGGGGATATGGATATGCGGGGCCAGGACAGAGGAGGGTGGGTGGTAAGGCCTGTAGCTGGAGCCGGGGGTTGGCACCTGGTGCTGGGTAGCCAGGGGTCGGTACCTGCGGCCAGAGCCCGGCGCTGGGGGCAGGAGCTGCACCTCCAGGGCAGAGAGTTGGAGCCCAGGGCCAGTGCCCACTGCCATGCAGCCAGACCCTGGAGCTGGGTGCTGGAGCCTGGGGCCGCGTGGCCAGATCCGGGGGTCAGTGCCCAACCGCAATGAGGCTGAAACCAGCACCCACTGCTGCGTGCCCGGGGTCAGGGATCAGTGCACACCCGGGGTCAGGGATCGGTGCCTGCTGCCGCACGCCTGGGGCCCGAGATTGGCACCCAGAGCCGGCGCCTGTTGTCGCATGGCTGGGACTACAAGTCGGCACCTGGGGTCAGCGGCTAGGACTGGGGGTCAGAGCACGCGACTGGGGTTTGGTGCGCAGGGCCAGCGGCTGCTGCTGGGGTCAGAGGTTGGTGCCCAGGGCCAGCAGCAGCTGATGGGATCGGGGGAGGGGCAGTCCCGGGGCCGTCACCGCATGGCCAGAGACAGGGAATGGAACCTGCTGCCACGTGGCCAGGGGTTGGAGCCTGAATTAAAGCCCCATGGCCACAGGCCAGGGCCGGAGGCCAGGGCCGGGGGCCAGAGCTAGGGGTCAGCACCTGAAATCCTGCAGCCGGAGCTGGGTGTTGGCACCTGAAGCCTCATGGCTGGAACCCTGGTCTGCGCAGCCAGGCTTCCTAAGTCCCACCGCTGGAGCCCGCCTCCCAATTGCCCCAGAGCTGCCTCCATGCCCCGCCCCAGGTAGAGAACTCACTGTGCTCCTGCAGTGTTGTGCCCCACCTGTTTCCAGGGGCCATGCAGGGCTGTGCATCCAGGAGGAACAGGGAGGAAGAGGGGCAATGCAGATGCTTTGCTTCTCCCCCCCCCCCCCATCACCACTCAGGAAGCTGTCGTGATCGCAGGGAAACCCCCTGGTGGCTGCATGTGGCCATGGTGGCCTCATTTGAGAAACGCTGTCCTAGAGTACCTTTTGCACCTGAAACAGCAAGGTCTGGCAGCAGCATCCATAAAGGTACACCTCGCTACTATCTCGGCCTTCCACCTGGGAGCATCTGGATGCTCCGTCTTCGCCAACCCCATGGTTGGCCGATTCCTCAAGGGTCTGGAACGGCTACATCCGCACGTTAGACAGCCTTTTCCTGCGCTGGACCTTAACTTGATCCTCTCCAAACTAATGGGGCCTCCGTTTGAACCACTGGCAACTTGCTCCCTTCTCTACCTGTCGTGGGAGGTAGACTTCCTGGTCGCCATTACATCAGCAAGGAGGGTGTCTGAGTTGAAAGCCCTCACCTCTGACCCACCTTATACGGTTTTCCACAAGGATAAGGTGTAACTCAGGCCTCACCCAGCCTTTCTTCCTAAGGTTGTGTCACATATTCCTGCCTGTTTTTTATCCTAAGCCTCATGCCAGTAGTCAGGAGCAGAGGCTGCACTCTCTGGATGTTCAGCAGGCGCTAGCCTGCTACATCGAATGCACTAAGCCGTTCAGGAAATCGAACCAATTGTTCGTAGCAGTGGCAGACCGGATGAAAGGTCTCCTGGTCTCTTCTCAAAGAATATCTTCCTGGATCACATCCTGCATCCGCACATGCTAAGAGCTGGCCAAGATACTGGCCTCGGCACTTAAGGCACACTCCACAAGGGCACAGGCCTTGTCGTCGGCATTCCTGGCTCAGGTCCTAATACAAGAAATCTGCAGGGCAGCAACTTGGTCCTTGGTGCATACGTTCACCTCTCATTATGCCATGATCCAGCACGCCAGAGATGATGCAGCTTTCGGCAGAGCAGTGCTCCAGTCAGCAACTCCATAACTCCGACCCCACCGCTTAGGTAAGGCTTGGGAGTCACCTAATTGGAATCGACATGAGCACTCACTCGAAGAAGAAAAAACAGTTACTCACCTTCTTGTAACTGTTCTTCGAAATGTGTTGCTCATATCCATTCCAATACCTACCCACCTACCCCTCTATCGGAGTAGCCGGCAAGAAGGAAGTGAGGAGGGCCCAGGTCGGCAGGGGCATATATTCAGCGCCAGGAAGGCGCCACTCCATGGGGCTCCACAGCTGACCCGACGTGAGCGGCTAAGGGAAAACTTTCAGATGACTATGCACGTGGCGTGCACACACCTAATTGTTCTCCTTAGCCACTGAGGACAGGACACAAAGCAATGGACTTAAATTGCAACAAGGGCGATTTTAGGTTAGACATTAGGAAAAACTTCCTAACTGTCAGGGTAGTTAAGCTGTGGAAGCGCCATCAAAGGAGATTAGGGTGACCAGACAGCAAGTGTGAAAAATCAGGATGGGGGTAGGGCGTAATAGGAGCCTATATAAGAAAAAGACCCAAAAATTGGGACTGTCCCTATAAAATCGGGACATCTGGTCACCGTAAAGGAGGTTTTAAAGAACAGAGTGGACAAACTTGTCAGGGATGATCTAGCTAATACTTGGTCCTATCTCAGTGCGGGGGACTGGACTAGACGACCTGTCGAGGTCCCTTCCAGTCCTACCTTTCTATGATTGTGCTTTCTACAATGCTGAACATAAAGGAAGGTCTGGTCTCTGTCCCAAAGAGCCTGTACGTTGAGACACAGGCAACAGATTCCTCTGGGCCCCAGGAGTGTTCAAACCCCGAGCTCCGCTCTGCCCCAGGCCCCGCTGACCCCTTCCCCCCAATCCCCATCCCCGCCCCACCTCTTCCCCCCCCAGTTCCGCCCCCTCCCCTGAGTGCGCCCCGTCTCTGCTCCTCCCTCCCCCCCCAGTGCCTCCTGCACACCTCAGAACAGCTGATCGCAGGCAGGCGGGAGGCACTGGGAGGGAGGGGGAGAAGTTGATCAGCAGAGGCACTGGGGGGGAGGGGAGCGTGGCTGCCCATGAATGCTCAGCACCCATTAATTTTTTTCCATGGGTGCTCCAGCCCACGGAGTCAGCACCTATGCATTGAGACTAAAATGTCTTCATTGTGGTTCATCAAAGAGCACATAACCCACTGCTTAATGTAGATCTAAAACAGTCACTCAGAATGAGATTCATCGTAAACAAATCCTGCTTTTTTTATGCTATTC